ACAGACTTTCTGGTCGTTGTAGATCACCCACCTGCAACAGGCACAAGAGCTCAGGGATGCCATTCCATGGTTAAGACACAACTCCATTGAGTCCCCTCTCCTGCTCTCATCCCCGCTCCCCACAAGACCTCTGAAGAAACAGGGGGGGATTTAAAGCAACACCTTAAAGTCCCCTTATGCTGTGAAAATCCCTCTCACCTGCCATCTTTCTTGATGTGACAAACATAGTGTCCACACATAGTCGAAGTGCCCATGTGGCTGATGAAGGCAAACAGCTGGTATTCTGGAGAGGAGGAAGGAAGAGAGGATTGTCAGGGAAAGAGGAAAGGCAAAAGGCATCTTACTCTGTGCAAAGCCCTCTCTAGAGAAGGTCCCTGATGGTAACTCTGCTGGGTAATAATTTAGAACTCAATCCCCAGTCTTAAGGCCAAACATGTTAGGAAATGATGGTAACTTTCATTTAGCCTTCTCACTTCCAACTTTTTATTTAGCCAATGGGTGTTGGATGGGTAAGGCAGGGATTCCCCTCCATATGGCATCCCGCAGCCCAGCAGCACTGGCACCAATTCTGCACACAGACTGGAACCAGTTTTGCCTGAAGGGCAAAAAAGCCTTCTGGGATAATTGCAAAAATGCAGCATAGCCCTTCCTGTCTTTCATTTCCTAGCACTTCCTCTGCCTTTCTCTTACTGGCTTCCAGGTAATTCCTACCCAGCCTGAAGGGTCTGGACTACATCGCCATTCCTCCTCTTTTCCTCTCGGCTTCCATTTCAACAATCAGACCAGCTTTGTGACACTGTTGCTAAAACCCGTAGCACTGCATGGATCAGGGATAATAAAGTCACATGGAGTTTCCACCTCAAAATCCACATTCCTACAGCGTGGAACTCACTTCCAGGCCCATCGCGCACTTTGGGACCCACAGGGACGGATTCAGAGATGGAATCAGCTGCGGAGCGCCCTTCTGAGATATCCATAGCAGCTTCTGCATCAAGGTCATCAATGTGGCTAAAGATCCAATCCACAGCACGCTCCAGACTGTTGTTCTGGAAGAAAGAAGAGAAGACAGTAAACTTGGGAATCCCTGTTCCTGAGAATATCCTTGCATTCTGATGTCACCCACGCCTCTCACCGTGGCCCTGAGCGCTTTCATAGCCTGGTCCCGGGAGAAGCCCATGGAGACAATGGTGGCCACACTGTCTTCTGAAGGGGGGTCTGGGCAGGCAATAGTTGACCCCGGTCCACTGGATCCAGGGAGAACTAATGGGTTAGCAAAGTCTGCAGCAGGAAACAGAACACAGCTCGGAAAAGTTAGACCTCTCCAGGATGGATACATTCCAAGTCCAAACTACTTCAGTTTTCCATTGTGGCAGTGGGACAGGAAGTACCATGGCCCAGACGCAGTAAGCTTCATTATGGCCATGTGGCCTCATACCTGGATCATCCATATGTGACATGACCCAGTTCATGGCCGCTTCAACCCCACTGTTCCCTGTGTAATACACGGCTTTGCGGCAGGCATCCATGGGAAAGCCCATCTCCACTAGCTGGATAATCACCGACTCATCCAACATGGGTGCTGTGGGAACACACAGATTAGAGCCACCCACTCCCACCCATCCCTGCCTGCTCCATTTTGTGTGGTGTCACACAGCCTCCAAAGCCACCACTTCTGGCTTTATTTCACAACAAGCTCCATCTCTCTGCTCTTCTCATCCTTTACCATCTTTCTTCATCAGAAGTGCAGTCTCATACACAGGCATCCCAAAAGAACAAAACAACTGAACTCATGAACTTGGGAGCCCTGGCTCCTCCCTAGACTCCAAACCCAACCTCCCACTGTGGTTTGTGAAAATAAAATAACTCTACCAGTTAAATCTTGTATAAACCCCAGCTCTGCCTCCTCTAAATGCACTAGACATGCTACTCCTCCATCCTGCACAGAACAGGAATCAACGAACTCCCTTGCATAACACCCTTGCATAACAGGCATGCAAGGGAGGCAGCTGGCAATCACTGACAGAGGGACAGGGAAAGTCTGGGCAAGTGGGAAACTGCTAGCATGGGAGACAAGGCAAGGAGAACAGGGAAATGAGTCAGGCATCAGGAAGAGAGGAGGAGAATCACTAACATGTCGGAGAGGAGAAGTGAGGGGAGCAGAAGGAGTCGTCGTCCTCGTTGCCATAGAACCCCAGGCTACCTTTGGGCTCGTCTGGTGTCACCAGTGGGGGTGCGATGTCTGGCATTTCCTCTTCTCCATCCTGCAGCCCTGTTCCCTGCAGTGCAGAGATATCCAGCTCCTCCGGCATTTCAATCGAAACATCTGCAAGATATAGTCTTGCTCAGCCTCCCCGCAGGGGCAGAAACAAAGGATTCGGTTGGGAGATCTTGAAGGGTAAGTCCCTGGGGATGCCTGCAGCAACTTTTGGGGTAGTTCCTTTCCTCTTTGCAATAATGACCACAATATCCATATGTGACTCCCAGTACTTATATGTTCTGCACTTCTCATCCTTCTTACCAAGCTTTTTGGGCACCCAGTCCAGACCAAAAGTGAACTTCTTGATCTGGATGACCAGATAATCCGGGAAAGAGGCGAACCGTGTTGTTCTGAAAGAGACACATAATATTTTTGAATATTTTGTTAGCAACAGTTGAGGGCACCTATTTGACTTAAGAAATCAGTGAGTAGGGCAGAGACATACCCTAAGACAGGTGGATACACCTATGTGTGCAACTCTCCTGTGCTGAGCTTAAAGCTCCTCAAACAGAACCATTTCTAAAGGAGAAAGCCTGACAAGATGGGACAGAGTGCAACATTTACAAAATCTTGAGGGTTGAGGAAAAATACTACATGCTCTCTTACCCTCCAATCCTGTATTTTACAAGCCTCCTCACATTTTGGTGTTTAATTAAAAGTCTAACCTTTAAAGAATGTAGAGGAAATAATATCTTTTATTAGACCAACAGATACAGCTGCAGGAATTGACAAGCTTTCAAGCACAAGAGCACTTTTTTGGATATGAAGCAGAATAAGTGAATTTTAAATTAGCTGAATTTGATGGAACATTATTTTGGAATCTATGAAACAGGGGAATGTTTGTGAAGGAAGAAGTGCCTGTGAGACAAAATACTTATTACCAGGGAATAACTGCAACATGCTGTAGAACTAACTTAATCAATGGTAAAGTGTTTGAACACAACTCACTAAAAAGCAAAACAAAATCTTACTTTTCAATGTGATCTGTTTGTTTGTAGTAGCTATTTCTTAATAACAGGGTATTTGTTAGAAAAATACTTCCAGCTCTAAGGACTTTCATTGCAAAACAACACTCAGTGGCATCACAGGAGAAAACTGCTTATATTTATAATCTTCTCACTCTACCTTTTCACTCTTGCATGTGCTCCAGGCAGTGAGAAAAATTAAAGCTGTTCTTTAAACCTTGCTACTAGCACTTAAGTTAGCATTCCTAAAAGGAACTCTTGCATCTGTTACACTCAGTGTTTTGTTCTAATCTTAATAACTAAAAATTAAAGAAATTTTAGAGACCATGCATGACCACTGTCGCCATTCTGTCAGTACTGATTCTAAAGCTAAATTTTACATTTACAAAAAGCTACTATTTTTCTGGAGTGTTACTGTATTTTCACGGCCTCTCAGCAACTGAAATCTGACTTCACTAGCACTGCTGTTCTGCCCACTGAGGGCAACCACTCCAGCACTGAAAGACTGATTCCCAATCTGCTTCAACCTTCTATGGGTCCAGGGTGTGGCTGACTACAAAGCTTTGGTAATGCTTCTTCCCCAAGCCACTACAAGAAATCCCCAAACATGCAGCTACGGCCAGTTTGTCACAGCCTAGCTGACACACACTCACTTGAGAGCCACAGACTTGGCCTGCAAGGCTGTGCTCCAGAAATCATCCACCTGCTCTGGAGCTCCATAGGCCTCTAGGCAGGAGCTGAAAGGCACCTTGGCTCGCACCAGCTCAGGCAGTGGCTGCTTCTCCTCCTCTGCCTGCCTCTTCTTCTCCTCATATTCCAGTAGTTCATCTAGAGAATAAAGCAGAGGAGTCAAGAACCACCTCTAGGTACCTACAAAGCGACTGGTGTAAGCTATACCCTGGGGCAGAACAGGCCTATAGACACACGCCGTCAAGAACAGAGAGCACAACTTCCAGAGCACTGTTCTGCTATTGCAGCCAGTCCTGTTTTGCTGCTGAATCACAGCCCAGGTTGTGGTGTCCGAGAGAAAGGCTCCACAGGGACATCACCAAGTCACACCACCTCTGAAGAAATCAGCCCGATCCCACAAAAGCAGGAGAAGGATCTGGCCTCAGAAGTGGCAGAGAAGTCCCCTTCTCATTTAAGGAGTTCTGTAGGAATAGTACAATATACAAACATAGGGTTTGCCAGTGTTCAGGTCTTGGCACGTTACTGACCTTTGTTGAGTGCAGCATCCATTGGCACAGGCAGCTGCATAATATAGTCCACACGCTGGGTATATTTCACCTTTTCTGTGGCCAGGCACTTCAGCTTCTCCTCCACCAGAAAACGGAAGACCTCGTTAGGGTTCTCCGAGCTGCGGCAGTTCCTCTGAAGAAGGAGAGATTAGAAGGACAGATGTAACATCAGAATGGCAGAAATAACTATCTGTAGTAGCCGTGATGCCACATAGGATGTGGAAGAGTATTCACTTCTGTACCCAGTCCTCTTGAAAAGACAGCAAAGAGGAAACTAGAACCAACTTAGCCACCCCAGGAACCCATGGCACTCCTGCCACTAAAGAAGAAAATTTGCATCTCCAGGTGTGCCACTCCCAGAAGAGATTCCTCCAAGGAATCAGCCCTGAAAACATGGCCAAACATCTCTCCCTTCTCTGCCTCAGCAGGTGCTGGCTGGCCAATTTCCCTGTGTTTTCTCCTTCTCTGTGCCTTCATTGTCAGCTTCTCACCTCCACTCCTTACCCCTTGCTGTGGGGAGAAAAACAAGCTGGCTTTTCCACAATTTGACAGATAGACTCAACCATTACCTCAACCATGTTGATGAAGTGCAGAAAGAATTCCTGGGCGTCCTGCTGTCGGTTAGTGGAAAATTCTGGGTGCCCCTTTCCGATGAGGGACTTAAACATGCGTGGAGCAATGCCATTTTGCATACCCTGCAAACAACAAGTGGAAGAGGAAGGTGGTCATAATTTGCCAAGCATGTGTCCTGGCAAGTAGCAACAGCTACTCTTAGCCATGCTTTTTCTTCAGGTGACACGGTGTTGGAATGAGCCTCAGGAAATGTTTGCGGAAAGGGTTCTTCCTCCTTTCCCACACAGCACACACAGTACCTCATGCAACACACACATCAAGAGGTTGCCATATCTAAGTCTTACCTTCTGATCAGGCTGCTGTTCCCCATCTGAAGAGGCTGGCCTTGAATACTCCCCAGAAAGCAGTCCATGGCCCAATTTGGCTCTGGAATGATGAAGCCACTGTTAGCATCAAAACAGTTTCTTCAGTCCCACATATTCCGGGAGCCACATTAACCCATCCAGCTTTAACGCTGTCAGTCTCACAGGTAACAGCCTTCTCTGCTGCACCAGACAAGATTATCTTATTGTGGTCTGTCCTCTGGCGCCCTGACTTCAAAGGACTTTTGGACACCAACCTCAACCACTGCTTGCACAGAGTAGCACACAAAGGAAAAGCAGGTGCTGAGCCACATGGCAGCTGTGTAACAGCCAAACTGAGCTGCAGCCCGACGTGGGTAACGTAGCAGTGTGTCTGACTGTGCAGGAGACAACAGGGCACAGGGAAACTGCCCGAGTCAGAAATAGCATTGCTGTAAGCAGACCGATCACTTTTTCCCAGAGAAAAAATCAGGGATGACTGCATGAGGCTCTTAATGGACAACAGAAGTGTTCAGGAACTTCCTCTTATGCTGACTCTCCTACTGTTTCACTTCACTCAAGTCATTTCCCATCAGTACTGCCATTTGTCTGGAAACAAATCTTACCAATTCTTCCCTCTGCTTTCTGGCTGTCTCACCTTAATCCCCTCTCATTGAACAACTTACTCCAGGATGTCCAAATTTAGAAACCACCCCTACCACTGAACTCCCTTCCACAAATGCCACCTTCCCTTTCTTCATCCCAAACCTCCACATGCTGCTTTGCCATTTTAGAGCAGCTGTAGCACAAATTTCAGGTATTTAAAATGTAAAACCCTCCCAAATCTTGTGTTCCTCTTTCTGCATATTCTCCTGCTATTGCCTCACACAACACCTCTCGAGGGAAGCCTCTTAAAGCATATCTTAATTACCCACTGAGAATAAAGTTGCCTAAATCTACATATTCCTTTGCTCTTTACTATCTCCCTCCATTGCAGACAGCAAGCACTTTTGCTGTTATGCAGACAGAAGCTGCCTACCACAAATCCCCCTGGGGTAACAGACAATACTGCCTTCCTACATAACTCATTTAAGAGCCTCCCATGAACACTGAAGTGCTCTCTGTCCTTTCCACCTAGGGTACTCAGCCGAATTTCTTGGCTTACATCCTTATTGATTACTGGGGATCAGTGTCTTCAGTGGTGGACATGCAAACACAGAGGTAAGGCTTGAGGGAGAAACCTGAGCAAACCAGCACAGAGGGGATGCACCCAGGCAGCCTCGGCCTTCCTTCTCTCACCAAAACTCTACGTACACTTGTGTGCTGAAGTCCTGTGTGGGGTCCGAAGGTGCGCTTTGGAATATCTTCTCCAGCTTGTCCACATACCTGCAGAGCAAAATGAGACAATCTAAGGGATATATAGGTTCATCTAGTAAAGAAGCAGATCTGAGTGTGATTACTGTAACAGAAGCTCCCAACTCTAGGAGCCCTTTCTACTGATCCCAGACTAATGGAAAAGGGTGATTAAACTCACTTACTTTCTCTGGAAGTCTGGGATACTGAACAGCACCTGCATCACAGAATTGAGGTAGCAACTGTTGCCCAGGTTACGGATACCAGTGTACCCAGGCCCATAGAGAGGCTTGAGCTGCACGCCAGACTCCTGGATGAGCTCCCACTCCCCAATGCGCTGATTCATGTCTATTTCCAGTTCTGTCATTGTTTTGTCTGTCTGCAGAGGGAAAAAACAGGAAAAATCCTCAAGACAGACTCAAGGGCACATTAGAGGTGTGAAAAGTGCAATGTTGTAGAGATACACAGAGTCAAATCCATTCTGGTTTATTCTAATGAAAGAAGAGGAAGAAAAAAGCATTGTTTCTGTATACCTGAATGCCTGTGACAAAAGGAAGAAGGATAAGAAATATGGGAGAAATCTGAACCATTCCTCGTAAAGAGGCATAGAAATCACACACTAACACTGAATCTAGGGAACAAAGCTCAGCACCCGGGAGCCTTCCTGCCCAAAGTACTGGCACATAACCCCAAGGAAATAAACCTGAAGGACATGAAAGAAAGGCAAAAAAGGCAGTGAAAGAAGTGAGGCAGATGAGACAACTCTCTGTGTGACAAAAAATTCAGGGTTTCTTGACCAGGAATGGTTCTGCATAGCCACAGAAAGCTGGAATCCAACTAAAATACCTTGAGCTGCTACTCTCTCCCTCTCAGCCTATGGAGGATCACCCTTCCCCCTCACCTTCTGCATCTTGAGCATGTCAATCCCAAAGTGTGCCAGGTGTTCTGCCAGGTTGGGATCCAACACCATGTCATCCTCATCATAGGAGTAGACATCTATGCAGGAACACAGAGGAGAAACTGAGACTTACAATGCCCTGTGATCTCAAATTCACAGCTGGATGAAGAGAACAGAGTGCTCAGAACTGCGAGTTTTGACAAACTGGGCAATGGAGGTTTCTTTTCCTCCTCAGCAGAATAGCATGACAGAACACTGAGATTCTTCCAAAGGACGTGACAAGACAAACAACTTTGTCACTGATCAAAGTACAGAGGTACACATACGCCTGAAGTGAGGAAACTGGGTTACTGTGCCATATATTCTCTGCTTAAGATTTGGACACAAATCTTGTCAGAGACCCAAGTCAGCTCAAGTGTGCCTGGGATCTCCCCACAGAGGATCCCCTTCTCACCAGCCCCATCAGGAGTAATTGTTCCCAGTTTCACAGCCAGTGGGTAGCCAGTTTCCCTGTAATGCTCAACCGCGTGATTGTTGCCACCACTGCCATCAAAGTAGCGCCGGCCACAGAGGATGGCTCCGTCCGTCATGTTCAGCCACAGGTTCTCCTTCATGTCACACTTGCTGCACTTCCAGCCACTATGGACAAGGAACAGAGAAAGAGAGATCAAAGTGAAAACCTTTGGATCCTGCCTCCCAAGCCTTCTCCATTACTATACACTGACTGCATTACCCGTAGTATAAGCAATCTCATTTCTCTTTCACTTCAGAACACTGAGCATGCTGAAATGCCTTAGTTTGCCATCTCCCCCGAATTTACTACAACAAGGCACGCTCAGAGGCTCTCAAAAGCAGTGTCATCTGCTGCTGCAGTACAGGACAGGAGAAGAAAGTGACGGGGACAGGTCTGGGACACATCTAGTTTCAGTACTAAGCTCACCATGGTGGGATGCGGACATCGTTCTGAAGTTGGTGCAGGGAAAAAGCATGTTTGGAAACACGTCGAACCTCTCCATCCCAAGCTTGTACCTCCTGCTTCCGTGAGGCTGAATCTGCTGTCAGGATGGCCTCAATTGCACTGGCAATCTGGAATTAGGACAGCAGGAAAAAACATGAAGGGCGCAAGGAAAGAAACTTCCAGTGGCACAACACTGCACATTTAGGCAAGTGAGTTGTTATGGAGCCTCAGTCACACACAAGCCAGGACTTCATAATGTAAAGAACTGTGTAAATGCAGAACAGTCCTGTTTACTGACAGCTGAGACTTCATAGAAGCTCTGCAGGATCCATTTCACTGGGCAGTGTTTCCTTCTCTGTAAAGGTACATTCCCTCACCAATAGAAAACACAGCCCTCCACCCAAACATACCCTGTCTCTGACCATATCTGGTAGGCCCTCCAGCCCATCACGAGGAATATCCAAATGGTCTGGAAAAATTACTATTTTTACATCTTCGTCATATTCAAACTTTTCTTCTGTGATGTCAAATCCACCTTCTACACCTACAGGAAGAAAAAAACATTCCGGTAACAGGTAAAACCAAAGAGCCTGCAGAGCTTCTTTGCCCAGAACTTACATGAAATAAAGCACCATGACTAAGACAAAGCTCTAAATCAGTGATCCACGATCTTTCTTCCACTTCTGGGTCCCAAAATTTCTGCTGGCAGTGTGGACTTCACAGAAGCAAATATGAGCGCGATGACAACAGGTTTGCCTTTTCCCAGCTCTTTTTACTGATGCTTAAAAAGTCTCTAGACCCTGACTACAACCAGAAAAAAACCCACTTGCTCTAGAACAAAGCCAAGATAAAGCACTGGTGTTCATCCTTAACCAGAATACTCAAGATGGTGAAGGGAGATGTGCATGAAGAGATCATCTTGTAGCCCAGTGCACAGGTCAGCTGTGCCAGCATCTTTAAGGAGCCTGCCTCTGTTTCTTGCCTTTTCCAGAAAGGATAATTCAGAGTCCTGAACTCATGTAAGAAGAACTAGGAGCTCCCCCAGAACACCTAGAATTGCAGAAAAAGTCTTAGGAAAGGTATAGTGCTAGTAGTTTCTCATGCACACTTGGCCTTGCTTTTCAAAGGTTGAAACAGAAATGGGAGATCCCTACATAAAATGTTATTTGCCAGCTGTCAATATTCATGATGGATGCTTGCCTAAAACACCTGCAGCTTCTGCATATTCCCTCATCTACAGCAGGGAACAGTTTCTGAATTATGTAGGTACTCGGGGGAAAAGCTTGGCCTTTCCTGTTCTCCAGGTGTTCACATGCTACATCCCAGAAGGAAACAGGCAAGACAGACAGGGTTTATTAGCAGCCTAAACCTCCTGATTTTTTAAACTGAATTTCCTTTATTTCTTGAAAAAATGGATGCTGTGACTGCAATAATCTCTGCAACAGATCTATGAACATCTGTGACTGCAACAAATCTCTGCAGGGAATACAAGCTTTTGCTGTTCAGTGTCTCTGCCTCAAGAATCCTGTGTGTGACACACTTCTGATAACCACTACTGCATTTCCTTAAAACATTATTGACAAAAACACCCGGTCCCACGAGATCTTCTGCAACTCCCTCCTTAGATACCTACAATTTTTACACTATGCACAAACTGCTACGTATGAATACGGTGATTTTAGAAATACCTGAAAACAGTCCCCAGCATCATGCAACAACATACCCAGACAATCCTCTTCTGTGCCTCCTCGGCACAGCCCAGAGAGATTTCCTGTCACCACTTCACAGAGTAAAGCAATACACAATCCCCCAGGGCATTACACCATTCTCGAACTCTAAACAAACTAAACCAGACTGGTGAGGTCCCCTCAGTGGTTATGTGAACCTTCTGAGGCTCCAGATGAGGAAGAGTGTCTTCAGCCAGCAGGCCAACTCCTAGCCCTTTACCCCCAACTCAGAGCCAACACCTTGCCATGAGGCACACTGTTCCCTTTCCATGGTACCTACACACCACAGACTACCAAAGTCATTCAACCAACACGCAGGCACAGGAGGCAAGCACTGTGGGTTTTTTTTTCCCCCATAGAGAGGGAAGAATGAGGTACAGAGAGATCAAGGGCTACATTTTGCAGCTAATGACATTTTGCTCCTAAATCTTTCTAGTATTTAAAAAAAATCTCCTGTGTCAGGATTAGCTAAACCACCACAGTTCAGCTAAAATAAAGATTAAAAAAATCTCTCCTGAACTTAAGACCACTGTCTCATAGGGCTAATACTTTCTTTTATTCTCTCCCGATCCATTCACACCACTAAGCTGTTATCACAGGTAGACATTTGCCAACCCACTGACAACACTAGTCTCAAGATTTTGTAGAATTCAGGAAGCAGAAGTAACTCATAATGCAGACTGGGCCTCATCTCTCCAAAAGCAGCACAGTCATATCAATAAAAGCAGTGGATACCTGAAGAAACATAGATTCTAGTCTCAATTTTGCTAGAAGTGATCTTTGGGACTCCATTCAGCTCACCATCCTAACAGAGAGCAGCTGACAGTCTTAATAGCAGTGTTTGTGCTCTGGCAGCAGTGGAAAAAGTGAGCCAAAAGCAAGATGTTCACAGTCCAGGTTCTGGATTTCCCTCTAGTGGCCAGCTTCCAGAAAGCCAAGAACCTGTTACTGCTACAAATGTTCCTGTCCTCTGCTTTACGTATTTCCAGAATGGCTCAGAAATTACGAGCCGAGACCGCTCCAAATAAGCAGAATCTCCACTGATTGCCATGACAGCCTTTTTAGTTGCTGCAAGAGTATAATGGAACACCATCTCTGTTCTTCAGAAAAAAAGGGCCTGTTTTTAATATTTTAATGTTCACACATATTTCCCCCAGCATCAGTCTTGTATTTCAAAGACCTACTGAGCCAAAAACGTTAATATGGCATTTACCATTTATTGCTTTCCCATCTATACGAATAGCACTAGCTCAGTATCTGAGAAGGTTACAAAATAGTTTATCTGTCAGAAGCTTCCAACTTACTTTTCTCAGACTTACATATTTTCTCAGACTTCCTTCAGCCCCACACTGGGCACACTGTGTTTAAGCAACAATCCCAATTCCCACAATCTAAACACACCAAGCTGAGCCAGGTATGCAGAGAGGATAAAAAACGTATTTATCCACGGAAAACACGTCGCAACTTTGGACACAGAACACAGACTGTTCTGCAGAAACTGCTCACGTGAGACACATTAGAAAACGTGAAGTCTTACTTTGGCCAAGCATATTAGCCCAGAAGAGTAAAGGCAAAAGAGACAAGCCAGGCAGCTCCAGAGAACCAGCTCAAAACAATAAAGACCATATGATGCACAAGTACTTCCTTACCAATAGCCAAACGAGTTGGTTTCTTCCTTGGGGGGTCCCCAGCGCTGGAATTGGTGTCTTCTTCCTTCTATGGCATTGACAAGAAATACAGAAGTAGAATTAGGGGGATGGGCAAGCTGTGGCAGGCCTTAAGGATTGAAATTAAGCTACTCTTAAGAACAGAAGAAAACTGGGCCGAAATAGCATGGGCAATGGATACAACAATGCAACATTAGCAGAGCTGAAGGACTGGTGTCCCTCAATTCACTAGGAAAAATATCAGTTGTGTCTGAGGAGAATAAACTGTATCTGGTCGAATACAGAGACACAGCACAGCTCTCAATTTCAGAACAAGTTTGAGCATATGTATTTTTATTTTTTACCGGTTTACGTGTTCTTTTGAGGTGCAGGTAGACCCGCTGGCCTGTTTTCTGATAGTGCTTTTCCACATACTGCTTCCCAAAGCCCAGGAACGTGTTCATGCAGATATACAAACCGCCATCTGACTCCTGGAAGGAAGGAGGAATAAAACTGAAGGGACATGGGAAAGAATGCTATTCCAGCTGCTAGGATAGGCATGGAAGACTAGTCATTATTCAGCAAATCTTGGCAACAGCTCATTCCTACATACCAGTCACTTAGCAGCGAGTCAGAAATAGGATGACAAGCCCCTGCCTAGCTGTCCCACAACAGGCACTCCTGTCATGATGACATATTAAAAAAACTATTTGCCTGTTCACTTATGGCAGGATGCTACTGAACCAGGAAAGCCTGAGCTTCTCCAGGATTTTATCTTGCAAAAGGCCCTTAGCACTCACAGTTCACAAGTTCAGAGCACAGTACAATCATTACTAGCAAAATTGTGGCACCCTGTCCAAGAGCATGATTCCCAGTGCCACAGGGAACGCTGCCAAGCTACAGTGTGAGTAAGGTTAACAGACCACTGTTGACTTTTGCTATTGGGTTCAAAAGCTTGTGGGCAGCTCTGAAACACATACGGAACGAGCCCCACTATTCCACCAGCAGCTGGAAAACACCATACGCGTTCAGCAGAGATACCCTTTTTAAATTGAAGGGGTGAGAGACACAAATGCAGAGGCTGGAAAGAGTGAAACCACTAAGGTCTCAGCAGCAGCTGAGACAGAGTGCTCAGAGTAGTGAGGCATCACTGCAGGGCTCGGGGAGGAGAAGAGGGCCAGGATGCCATGTGCCGCTTCCTCGAAGGACCCGTATCTTCCAGTTACAGCCCACTTTTGGCAGGCTGGGGCTCAGTCCGAACGAGCACCCGCGAAGAAGCCCAACGAGGGACCTCGCTCTCCCGCTGCCTGCGCCTCCCCGGGTCCTCCGAGGCCTGGCGTGGGTAGCGCAAGAGGCGCAGGGATGCCGGCGGGGTGGAAACGGCTGGAGAAGGGACCACTGCCATCTTAATGACACAGCATGGCCTCGGCCCCCGCCTGCCGGGCCACACCGCGCGGTGAGACCGGGAAGGGCTCAGACCCGGGCAGGGTGGGACCCCCGGCCCGCCCCCCGCCGCCAATGGCGGGCCAGGGGCGCGCCCCGACCGCCCGCCCATCGCCGGACCGCAAGTCCCAGGAAGACTCTGCGGTGGCGGGTTCGGGCCGGGGGCACCCACTCTCCAGGGCTGGCCGGGTCGGGCCGTGGCTGGTCGGGGAAAGCTCCCTGCCCACGCCCGCCCCGGGCACAGAACTACAGCACCCAGCGCGCCGCGGGCGGGCGGGGCGCGCCGCGCGGCACGCCGGGCGTTGTAGTCCGCGAGAGCCTTGCGCGCCGCCCCGGCGCGGCCGTCGCGGCCGCCGGGGAACCACAAGTCCCGTGAGGTCCCGCGCGGGAGGCGCCCGGGCGGGCGGCAGGGTGTGAGCCGGCCGCAGCGGGAGTAGCCCGAGCGGGCGGGCGGGCGGGCCGGCGGCGGGGCGCGCTTACCGGCGTGTCGAAGGAGAAGGCGCACTCGTCCTTGTGGACGCGGTCGCCAGCCTTGGGCACCCGGATGGACGGCAACACCGACAGCAGCGCCTCGCTCAGCTCCGCCATGACAGCGGCTCACTGCGGCACCGCCCACAGCCCCGCCCAATCGCATCCTGATGCGGTCAGACGGGTTCCGGCCAATCAGCAGTGAGGCTGAGGGCCGGGCTGGTGGCGCCGACCGGCCGGCTCGGCCAATCGTAGCCAACCTGGCGTCGTCACAGGGGCGATGCCGGGCTTCTTAACCAATGTCGATGCAGAGCAGGGCGTGGGGGGCGGGTCAGTAGCAGAAGATTGACAGCAAGGCGAGGAGGGACGTGACGGGCGAAGACGGCGGGGCCGGAGGGCGGAGGGGCGGGGCTATGGGCGGGGCACGCTGGCCCCCGCCCCCGATCGAGGGCCAATGGGCAGCGGCGCCGGCCGGCGCGCGGGAGATTCGAACGGCCCAGCCCGGAGCAGCGCGGCCATCACCGCCATGGGCGCCGCGGGCAGCGCCCCCGCCACCCCCGCCGCGCCCCGCAACAAGCACCTGGCGCACGTCAGCGACCCCCGCTCCCCCACCGCCGGCATCCTGCGCACACCCATCGAGGTACGCGACCTCTCGGCCGCCGCCGCCCCGCCCCGCCCCGGTCTGCCGCGGCCCACCACCCCCACGGCTGTCCTCTCCGCAGGTGGTGAGCTCCCCGGCGGGCAGCCCGCAGCCCAGCCCCGCCGAGCCGCCAGCGGGCGCGGTCCAGGAGCGGGACCCGCGCTCGCCCACGCCCGGCATCTCCCGCACGCCCATGAGAGCCGTGTCGAGTGGTGAGTGAGGCGGGCGCGGGGGTGTGCGGGGTGGGGGCTGCCCGGCCCGGCGGCTCATCCCGCCCCCTCCGCCCCTGGCAGACAGCGTGGACCGCCTGGTGAAGCAGCTCAGCGAGGCCTTTGGGGCCGAGGCAGCGGCCCCGGAGCCGGCGCCGCCGGGAGCAGCCGATGCCGCCGAGGAGCCGGCCCGGCGGAGCGCCCTGCCCGCGGTGGGGGAGCTGGAGGGGCCGCTCTCCCCTGGCACGGGCCCTGCTCGGCCCACCCGCCCTGCCGGGCAAGGCCTGTCCTCCGGTAAGTGCTCGGTGGGGCGGGGATAGGGCTCCGTGTGCGCCGAGAGCTGCCCAGGCCGCGGTGTGGGCAAGTCGGGGCTCTCGGCACCTTCGGGATGGAGTGCCTTCCCCAGGCTTTGCCCCCTGACAGAAGCGCTGTCCTCATTCCCTGGTTCGGCTGTGTCCCACCACCCTGGGCAGCCTGGCCTGGGGGCTCTGGAGCTGGGAGGCGCCTTTGGGAGCTGTTTGGTTGCCGAACCTGATTCTTTGAAGAGTTGAGAAATTACGTTTTCAACCCGTAGTCAAAACCAAGAGGTACATGTAACCTGCTCCCCTCTCAGAGGTGGATTTGTGATTGTGGAGACCTGTTCAGAGAAACCTTTTCAGCTTTTCCTGGGGAAGAGCTAGGGAGTAAGGATTGGAAGCACGTCACAGTGCTATGGCTCAGTCTGTGATATGGACTGTGCTTCAGAAAGCTCTGTGCTGAGCATCTCTCCTAGGAGGAGAGGCTGAGAGCTAGGACTGTTCTGCCTGGGGTAGAAAAGGCTCAGGGGTTATCTTATAATACACATATAAATGTCTGAAGGGGGAGTATTAGGAAGGGAGAGCCAGGCTCCTTTCAGTGGTGGGACTAGAGGTGACAGGGACAAAACGGAACACAGGAAGCTTTTGAGCATCAGGATACAGTTTTTTTCACTGGGAGGGTGAGCACTGGAGCAGGCTGCTCAGAGAGGCTGCAGAATCTCCTGAGATATTCAAAAACCAGCTGGACATGGTCCTGGGCAACTGGCTTTAGGCAGCCCTGCTAGAGCAGGTCCTTTGAGTTCCCTTCCAACATCAACCTTCCTGTAATCCCTTTGCCTAGAAGTCCTCAGGTAAGTCTTTGCTGTACAAGCAAGCAAACTAGATCATAAAGGCCAGGAGGCATTTAAAATCTAGGACCTTCTAGCCTTGTTGTGATGCACTGATGTGTTTCCTTCTGTCAACCAGTGAGCAAGCCTGTAAGACACAAGCCCAACAACAAAATCATGGCAACATCTGGAGGAACTGGCCGCTCTCCCCTCAGCATTCTACGAGATGATAATTCTCCCAGTACTCCTGCCCCTCGCCAGGTAAAGCTTAATGAGTGATATTGTGGGATGGAGAATTGGCTGGAAAAAGCCAAAGCCTTCAGTTTCTGTGTGTTGTAGGGCTCCAGTTTGGAACTGTGGTCTCCTAGGCCTGTAGAGCCTAGTGACTTCTTAAATATTTTTCTGTGGGTCAGCCCTGTCCTTAAGTGCCTACAAGTCTTGTTTAATGTCTGTCTTAAGTGTTAACATATTACCTGTTTCAGTGCATTCTTTCTCTTTAGTCTGTAGAAAGAAGTCCATCACTTTTGTATATTGTTACAAGAGAGCCAAAGCTGAATGGCCTGAAAATAGGTTACATGTTCCACTGAGAATTACCTAACTGTAAATTAATTTGTGTTTTACACTTTGTTTGGGTTTTTTTTATTTCTCTAGGGCAAGAAGCATGTGTTGGGAGAGAACCTTGGGGAAAAGAAGGAAGTGACAGTGGACCTGAGCAGGAGCCATAAATCTGGGAACTGTGCTTGGAATGACTTGAACAAAGAGAACCAACAGTGTCCTTTTGTGGAGAACTAGAGATTTCCCTTTTTAGGATTTTGCTGTAATTTTAATTTTCTGGGGTGGGGGGGGAAATCCTGCAATAGACTGAAATTCTAGAGCAGTGATCACACTTCTTGTCTATCCCTGTGGAGAAAGATCACTCTCTCATTCTCTCCCCCTTCTAGTTTGCCATGTCTTATGTAAAGCACAGACTTTGGCTCTTCTACTGTACATTGCTGTATTGATTTTTCTGTTGAGTTTTTATCCGTAGTAAATAAATTTGTGTGAAGCCTTTGCTGACTGTATGTCCTGATAGGACAGCAGGAGTCCCCTGCTTGCCCAGCACAATATTTTCTTTGGGGACAAGTGTTCGGGAACAAATAGTTCAGCTTCCCATTAGCCTTAAAAACTAACATGCTGAGGGGTCTGGCCTTGAACCCACATGCTATAGCAAGGACCAGGAAGCTGCAGCTCCGTGCAGAAGGCTGTACATCTGGTGTTGCTTCTGAAGTTAAACTGGGCCTACACTGGCTAAAACTAACATATACAAAGGATTACAGACTATTGTAAGGGTCTGGCATGAAGGTGAGATCCAAAATAGCATGGGATAGTGTGTGCTAATGCTGACTTCTGTTGATAAGTCGCTAAACCTTGCTGACCTTCATCTCTCCCTAGCAGAGCCTTGGGACCCCAGGATGTTGTTATGAAAACCAACATGTGGAATAGGGGCTGAATAAAATGTCTGTGTCCTGTAACTGAGCTTAAATCTCCAAGGTTTGCAAGGATGCATTTTCAACTCTCCATCCTAACTCCAGCCTCTTAACTAAAACAGGTGAGGAACACCCTCCTCTGAGGGATTGTGAGCTAGAGCAAGATCTGTGGATGAGGTGTTTGGATGGGGTCAGCAGGCAATATTCATAGGAGAGGAGTTGTGTTTGCGGTAGCTCATTGCAATGCTGGAAAGAACACAGCCTGCAGTGCTTATGTGAGCTTTCTTTATTTGCCTGGGCTATGAAGATCTAAACAAACTTGAAAACAGGGGCCAATGGCTACTGGTTAGACAGTGTCACCACACAATGCAGGAGTGAGGCAAGAGGGGAAGGTACAGCAAGAAGCAGACAATAAATAATAAATACAATATTCCCTGATATTCTGGCAGGTCTGAGGGCTACCTTTCTGCCATTGATGCATAGATAAGATTTGATCTAAGAAAAGAATAAATATATTCTCTGGTATTCTGGAAGGTCTGAAGACCACCTTTTTCTCATTTATGCATAGATAAGACTTGAGCTAAGTCTTCCTCAATGGAAATGTGCCAAATTTACACTATTTTTTTGTTTGAGGTGGTGTGATACAAATCTCAAACCCAGTACCTCTCTGTGTCTGTCTGCAGGGATATAGGACAGCTGCACAGAGAAGCTAGGTAGAGTTAAATCAGGGAGAGATCTTAGTTGGGGGCAGGTGTTGGATGAGGGATCCTCTGAAGGAGGAGGATCGGTGTCAGCGTGGGTAGAGGTGTTTGAAGAAAGATGCAGGTTGTCTGAATTGTACTGTAAAGTCCTGAGATGTAAAGAACAGTGTTTTGCAACTCTTCCAGCCTGTGCAAGGCTGGAAACTGCTGGGGTTTTTTAGAGGTGGAGAGAAGGGCCAGCGTGTGTGCTCCTGTTCCCCAGCTTTCCCTGCTTCTCCTTGACCTCTCCTTTCCCTTTGGCTCTGGGAGACTCCTACAAGTGACCTGTGTCTAGAGACAAGCGGGAGTGGTAGGTAGGCGTTTCTGTTGCGCTCATCTGACGATGCTGCTTGCATGGGCTCGGGCTGTGGGCCGTGCTTCCACTTCTCTTCCCCTCTCTGCCGCCATCCTCAGTTCCAAATCTTGAGGAAGCTGTCCCAGGAGCCAGTGGCAACAGCCATGCCATCTGCTGTCACCCCCAGGCAGCTCACTCTGTTATCATGGCCAGAAAGGATACCTGTGGGGGAGAAAGGAGAGGTCAGGGAAGGAAGTGAGGCTCTTGACGGGGTTGACTGCACAGAGGACACACATCGTGGGCTGTGTACCTACCCCCTTGTGTGTCACACTGATCTTGCACACTGTGTTAAAATTGATATCTGTCTAATAAGAGCAAACATGCAGAAGAACTTCTGTGCATGGCCTACAAGTATAACCCATGGGACTGGCTGAAGAGCAATGTTCTCGGGCAAGTACGGCCAGCTGAATCCTCATACAACTGCTTTCATCCTGGAGCAACGTAGGACCAAGATAGGAGGGTGTCCTTGATAAGGCTGAGAAATGGCAGTGATGTTGGTGGGCTGTGTTTCATGAATTTTCTAAGGGTAGGGGCCACATTTGAAAGCAAAATGGTGTGTGTTCTGTGTATGAGCATCAGAGAATATCCAAAGATGTTGGATGGAAGCCCTGGTCCACTCTCAGCTTAGTGCCTGGCCACCGAGTGGCACTATGAGTACCTGAAACTGGCAAACAGCAGAGGTTAGGAGAAAATAGGAAAGTCTGCTGGTGGTTGTGAGTGGTTTTAGCTAATAGCAACCTTCTTTTGCCTCTTGAAACAATGTTCCTTAAAGTCTTGACTTCCTTGACATTAGAAACAATAGTTCTGCACAACTGAGAGTTGTACTAGTTACAGTGTGCTCCTTAGTACTTCCTTAAGGAAGCCTTATTGGGTTTCGGTCGTATAGGATGTGTTCCTTTAAGAAAAAATAAATGCCTTTTCCTCACCTTGACAGGGACACGAGGCCTTGCGGGGAATGAAAGAACCACTCACCCACACGCTCTGCTTTCAGGGAGTCCCAGATGTTGCAGTTGAAGTCGTCATACCCAGCAAGCACAAGACGCCCACTGCGGGAGAGGGCGACTGATGTGATTCCACAGATGATGCTCTCATGAGAGTACACTATGAGCTCCTGGTCCGCTCGGAGGTCAAAGAGACGGCAGGTGGCATCATCTGAGCCAGTGCAGATGGCTTCACCGTTAGGGAAGAACTGGGGAGGGCAAACACCAGATTTTAGCCAGGTTTTCCTCAGATCCTGACAGATTTCCCCTCAACTTTTCAACTCCCTGCTAACCTCTAGGAAGCCATGGAGGTAAGAAAACCCAGTGGGACAAGGCACTGGATCATAAAAGTTGAGTCTGCTGAGGGGAGAGATTGATGCTTCTCCTAAGACCTAATAAACCCTTTCCACCTCAAGAAAACCAATGACCTAGGGGCTAGAGCTGTTGCAAGACTTATCAGTCCTTGAGGAAGGATTACTTTAGCTCCATCTGTAAGTTTGGGGCTTGACAAAAGTCCACCCATTATCCCCCAGCTGGGGTCTAGCATGATTCAGAGCTATGAGAGCCTTCCTCTGTGTGATCCTCGTACCCCAACCTTCTCATACACGCTCCCTTTCTGTGGCCTTGCTCTAAGAAGCAAAGAAAGGACTCCTAAGGAGCAGATATGGCAGAAAACCATGTGCCTAGTAAGGTAGCAGTGGAGGAGATGAGAAAGGTTGTAATTGAAGTCAGTGGAGGGTGGTTCAAGCAGCAGACTTTGTGGAAAGCTGGCAGACTCGTTGCTTATCCACAAGGATTAGTCTGGCATGTTTCTTGCCCTTGCTGTCTCTGGTTTGAATCCTTGCCTCTGAGGGGGATACTTTCTCCCAGATGTCTGTGCTGCCTCTTGGGAGAATTTAATCTTCAGAAGATCTCCCTGTGATCCCAAGTTCCTACCTCTTCTGTCTGGAGCTGACTAAGACCTTCAGCTGAATTAGGTATTCCCACTGCCTCACATGTGTCTTGTGCCAGGGATGCTGGAGCATGCCTGAACCACGGTTCCCAACAGCTGCTATGAGCAAGGCTGCACCAGCACCTGTTAGGGTGCTGAGCTCCACAGACCATGGTGTGCTGGCTGTCCAAGACCTAGGTGCTTTGGTGCTTGGAAAGAGCCAGCCTCCAAACTTCAGTGAACACAGGCCCTCCCTGCTTCAGGCTGGATGTTGGGGCCAGGGTTCCCTGAGACCCTTGTTACCCACTCAGTTGTGACAACTTTTTTCAGCCTTGTCCCAAGACTCTGTTTCAGAGCTGGTCCACCCTGCATTTTTTGTGCTTCCCCCACCTTGTGCAGACAGCGTACATACAGAGATTGCATTGATATCAGACTCATGTCCTCCGAAGGTCTGACGGCAGGAGGCCTCCCGCACATCCCAGAGTTTGGCAGTAGCATCACAAGCCCCAGAGATAAAGAGTTTGAAGTCTGGGGAGACAGCCAAGCTCATACAGTCTCCGGTGTGTCCCAGGAACACAGTCTTCTGCTGCCCCGTCTCAATGTCCCAGAGCGCACTGTGTGGAGGGAGAGGAGAGAACTTCTCAGAGCCAATCCAGGCAGAACAGATCTACAGCTGGGCCAAAGAGCTGTCCCACTCGCAAACAAAAAGAGGAGGGAAGCCACGGCTACAGCCTGGAAAAATGGATGATAGCATCACTGGAGTCAGCTGTATACAACAGGAGAGAACTTCACAGCTGTTGCCGGTGATACCTTTGCCAAAGCAGAGTTAAACTAAGGCTGGGGGGTATGAGGTTTGACTGTATTCCCATAACCGCAACAGTTGAAGGGAATACTGAGAGGAGGTAAGAGTGACACAAAGAGCACAAACCAGCAAACGGCTGAAAAAGATCTGCTGTGGCCATGCTTGTAGGATGCACACCCCGTGTTCACACTGCAGCCAGACAAGCAGGACCTGTGTAACCCTGATCTCTGATGGAAATGCCACATCCTGACTCATCTTTGGTCAAGAGGTTCTTCCAAAGCAGGTGTTGGGATGGGGTGAATAAAGATTCACCATTGCTCAGAGTCACAGCACAGCGAGAACTGAGAGCCAGGAACCAAAGGCTCCAGGTGCTAAGTCTGCCGGTGTCCCTTGCATGGTGGGCAAGACTTGAGAAGTGAAGCACGTGGGTGGGCTCCACATAAATTTAAAATGTTTTCTGTCCTTGGATAGATGGCACTGTGCTCTGTGAGAGCTGACAGCATGGTCCCTACTGCTTCACCAGTTGACCTGCATCTTGACGTGGCATCAACTGGGAAAAGAAGCACCTTTTCTGCCAAGGGAGGAAGAATGGATCAGGCTTCTTAAGGTGTTCCGTGTGGCCTCCCCATGTAGGAGCAATTCTTCCTTAATGGACTGCTGCATAGCCAAAGGACTGCACTTGCTGACGTGTGCTGTGCCTCTAAGAGCCAGAGGTCACATCACTAGGACGCAAAAGACAGCACTCACCACGTGGTATCTCCAGAGCTAGTCACAATAGAGTTGTCATCAAGAAATCGGCAGCAGGAGAGGTATCCTGGGAAGCAGGAACAAGCAAATATGAGAAAAGGTACAGAGCTAGAAGGGTGAAGTTTGGAAGCAGAGGATGCCCAGGTTGCAGGCAGATGGTGCACACACCTGTATGGGCTGAGAGCTCCCTGCTCACTTTGACGTTGCCTTCACGAGACTTGAGGTTGTAGATGGAGCATACGTTGTCAAGGCCCCCACAGGCCACAAAATTCCCTGAGGGAGCATAGGCACAGGTCATGACCCAGGAAGAACGCAAAGGGATGGCATGAACCTGTGAGGACAAGAAACCATGTCAGGACTCTTGGCAGCAGAGGGAGCTGGGCAAGGGCAACAGCTTTGAGAGGACCCACTCCAGCATCCCCATTTGCTGCAGCCACCTGACTCCTACCTTGTTAGTTGTGTATGTGTCCCACACAATCAGTTTCCCATCTTGTGAGGCACTGACCATAAGTCTGTGAGAAAGGAACAAGATCATGTTAGTATCTCTCTTCCCAGCAGAGCCTTCCTGCCTGTCACACCCATGTGCTGCCCTGCACCCAGCAGATCAGCAGCATTGCTCTCACTTGGAGTCTGTGGACCAGTGCAAGGCGTAGATCTTGGCCAGGTGCCCCCGCAGGGTCCTTCTGGTCCGCATCTGGATGCGGCCAACAACCTCCACTCCAGACACAATCTGAGAAAAGAGTGGCGGGACAGAAAATCAGTCTTGGACTGGTAGAAGCTCTACTGCTGTCCACATCTCTGCCTTCTAACTTTGCTTCCCAGCTGGAGAGACCCTCTCAGAGTGGTGCTAGCTAACTCCCTCACAGCCATCAGCCCAGCCAGCCCTGTCCCTCACCTGAGCCAGCGTTGTGTCTGCACAGGCTTTCCGGGCGTCCTGGAGAAGAGACAAGAGCATATGAGACAGATTAAAAACATGTGATGTAGGCAATGGCAAGTGAAATTCAGGGGTGTAGCCTAGGGACTGCTAGAAGTAGGAAATGTGGCTTTGCTGTATTTGGATTGTTCCCTGTGCTGCACTCTTTCTGTGCATCCTTCCACTGACAGAACATCAGCTGCCTTGAAGACAGAGGAGACCCCAGGGATTCACTACACTTTTTGGACCCCTGTCCCCTCTTCTTTCCCTTCCCCTCCCACCCTTCCCCCACCATGCTGGGAAGATCTCCATTAGCAGTTAAAGGGCTGTGGAGAACTGCACAGGACTCCAAGTATGCAGATGGAGAAAGCTCAACTCCAACTGGTGGCTGAGGAGGAAAGATTGCTCTCATGGTGGGGGGATAGACACTCTTAGCAGTTTCATGACTGTTGCCAGTATTACCGCAATCTGCTTCTTCAGCTGCTCAGCCTCCTGCTTCATCTGTTCCATTTCCCCCATCTTTCTGACCTAGGGGTGGCTCCTTCACGTGGGGCAGCCTTGGTTCTGGGGAAACAAATCAAAGGAGAGAAGTGTGAGGTAGAAAGGGCACTAATATGACTGATCAGTCATGAAAATGTAAACATAAAGTCTTAGTGACCATATCTTGGCTGAATGCTTGGTAGTGTTGTCCTGTAGCTGGTCAAAGCTCGTAGCACCTGGAAAGATCGTACTGGGCCTGATCAAAGGTTCAGTTGGTCTTGTATCCTTACACATACACATACACATTGTGAAGCTGAAGAACTCCAGAGCCTCTTACTGCGGTTCTGGCCACACTTGTCCTCTCATTTTTAACGTCTCCATTCCAAGCCCTACCAAGCCCCAGGTCCTCTTCATCAGGTTTTCCCTGTTCATGGCCAAGCTGTCCATTCAGTTCCAGGAGGAAGAAACTTGATGGGGGAGCCCAGTGGCTGTTTCCTGTTGTTTGTCCTAGGCAAAGCATTCCAGGAAAGATCCACTAACTCTTTGACCATTAAGAAAATTTAGGGGTTGTTGAGTTGCTCTCTCAAGATTCCCTTCTAGTTTTCCATTATATATATAAAAAAAAAAAAAAAAAAAAAAAAAAAAAAAAAAAAAAAAAAAAAAAAAAAAAAAAAAAAAAAAAAAAAAAAAAAAAAAAAAAAAAAAAAAAAAAAAAAAAAAAAAAAAAAGGAAGCCTAGGGAAGGATCTAAAGATAACATCAACTGAGAGTAGTATTTCTCCTACTTACTCAGCCCCAGCTTTTCACTGACATTCAAAGCTAGAGCAGCATTACTGCATGGAAGTCCTTGATGGACTTTTCTCCTATGCATTTGTCCACACAATTTTTGTGCCCATGTTAAAGTTTAGCATCCTCAGTACCCCGTCATGATGACTTCGACACCCTGATGGCTGACTGTGCAAAGAAATTCCTGCTTCCATTACTCCCCAGTGTCATTAGTTCCACTTGGAGGTACCTATATTTTGAGTTGGAAGAATTAGTAATTGAATGGTCTCTATTCACCTCTGCATCACTTGGTATTTTATAGTTTTTTGTCATATCTGTCTTCATTCACCTATTATCCAAACTGCAGAGCAAACTTAGTCATTCCTCTCAGGTAAGCTGTTACATCCTGTTACCTCTGTTGTTCTCTGAGCTCTTTTCAGTTGTTTACAGAGCACAGATGATATGTTTTAGCAGGGAGAGCAGTGAACCAGAACTGTAATCCATATTCAAGATGCAGGTGTACTGTATCATTATACATCATCTTCGTTTTGTTCTCTCTTTCTTCACCAGTGATTCTAGCATCTCCCACTCATGTAGACAGATCTGGTCTTTAATTGCTTTGACATTTCTCCTGGGTAGGTGTGTGTCCATACATGCTCCAGGCGTTGTTTGTCATTAGAACCAGTGCTTTGCCCCCAGGCCAAGAAATGTTCCAGCAGCATCTGCAGAATTTCTCCTAGTCACTGTGGGTCACACCACCTCCATCCCTCTCTGGCCTGTTGCCTTAAGGCTTCATTTCTTCCAGCCCATGAGGCTTTGGGTCCATCCATGCCAGTCTGCTCTCTTGGTGTGGGCAAGCACATTCAGATAGATCCCAAGGCCCATTTTGGCTTGCTGCTTCACTGAACTCTTTGACGTTTCTCCTCACAAATTCTTTCCCCCAAACGTCTTCATGGCTTTCTTTTGATCCTCCATGCACAGTGAGTTTCTGCTTCGTCAGTCCTTCCTGTGGCATGGTGTTGAGCGTAGGAAAGACAAGGAGATACTGGTTTCCTGTAGCTCCTGGGAGGCATGAGCTTATCCCAGTGGGAGTCTATTTCAGGCTACATTTTGCAGAGAGAGACTTGTGCCTGCTGCCTCCAAGGCTGGACAGGGCCACAGCACTGGTGACTCTACCCCGTTCCCTGCCCATGCACTGGACATGGTTGCTGGCCTGGTCTGCTGGCCCCAGCAGACGGCAAGGGAGCAGGAGAGGAGTTTGTGACTGCACTGTCAGAGGCACACGTCACAGCAGTGGCCTGGGGCTGCCAGCCTTATCTATAGTGAAGGATGGAAACAGACCAGCACCTGAGCTGGGCCCTTTACAGGGTTTCTTCTTCTCTCAGAGCAGTGATGAGGAACGTCCTCCCAGCAAGGATGCACAGCTGCACCTCACTGAGTGACTGACCATGAAAGCCCACCTGCAGGCACTTCTCTTTTGGGAAGGGAATGGACACCCCACCCTCCCTCAGCTAACTGACAGAGGGGGGAGATGCTGGGGAAGGCCCTGTAGCTTTCAGCTGGAGACTGCACAGCCTCCTTATCCTGTGGTGTTTGTGCCTCAGTTTCAGTGTACAGAAGGGCTGTGAGACTGTGTCCAGCTGTGGTCGATGCCTACTGACACACCAAGTGGCACAGCTGAACTTCCAGCTGCCCTGGAGAGACCTGCAGGCCCAACCCAGAGACCGCTGTGGTCCACATCCTGGCCTTAGGACTGATTCTACTTCCCCTCCATTAATGCTAAGCATTGGACTGCCTTTTCCTTCTGGGTCGCCTCTTCCCTCCAACTGTCTCCTTCCAGCCTCCTCTGCTCGGTTCCCAGTCTCTTCAGGCTGTTATTTCACACGCCTTTGGCTATCTGAGATCATTGTCCATCCACCTGCCCTAATCTGCCTTTGTAGACTTCTGGTTTTGCCTACACAGACCCGCATGGAGATGGGAGCCTTGTTTTGCCTTCCTTCTAATTCCTGCCTCATGTGAAGCTGACCGCACATCCTCCTCATTACCCATCGGACCCCAGTCTTCCTTGTATTGCTTCTGCTTTTTTACTGCTCTCTTCCCTTGCCTGGATGTTTCTCAACTCTGGCACTAGCACAGGAGTTCCAGTTCACAACCTGTTCTGTAAAGCTGCCCGACGAGATGAGGGGCTTTCAGACCTGGCAGGCAGATCAAACGGAAGGGGCAGGATGTCGAGGACAGATAAAAAGGTCTAAATATAGAGAAGGTGCAGCTCAGGACTCTGTCCGAACCTTTAAATCCCTTTGAGGGAACACTCTAAATGAAGCTGGGAATTGTTCTCAGCCTCAGAAGGACAAGGAGACTCAGATGAGTGATAATAATAGCTCCATCTTTGCCTGTCCCCTCCATCCGTCACATCCCAGTGCAATTTGTGGAGAGTGAGTTGCCCAGTTCCCAGCGTAGTGCAGCTGCCTCCCAGGAGGACTGCGGCAGGTGTGCAAAAGAGCAGCTCATCATGGTCATGTAAATTTAGAACAGGAAATGGGGGGAACCAACTGGGAGAAGAACAGAGGAAAGGGGAACAGAGTTTGGAGTTTGGCCAAGGCATATTCCTGCCTTGACCAGCAGGACCTCAGGAATGCACATTTCTTGTGGATCCAAGGATCAGCTCACAGTTGCTCGTGGCAGCTGTCCAGTCTGGTTTTAATGGGAAAGGCTTCTAAATGGTTCACACTCAGCGCTTTCTGGAAGTAAGGGCTCTTTCAGGTGAATGCTAGGCAGTGGAGGAAACCAAGTCCTTAGGTACCTTTGGAAAAAGCAATTCACCACCATCAGCACCACTATTAGTGGACACAGGTGGACCTTGGCACCAACACTGGTCCAGAGTTGTACCCCCCTACAAGCATGACCAGAGAGCATGGCATAGCCAAACAGAGCCTGGGCTCAGTCAGTTCGTGCCAGCCCTCTTCTGAACTCTGCCTCAGCTGTGCTCATCCACTTCACAGCTCTTGGCATCTGAAACCACATTTCATTTCTTCTGCTCTCCAATATGACAGTTCTTTCCACTCTTGCCTTTTGCAACATTTGCTGGAGGCACCTGATGTAGCACTCCTGTCTGTGGGCAACCAAATCCATCCTGAGCCCTTGGGTGTCTGCTCATAGCAGACCAAATGCCTCTACTGCGGTGTGAGGCAGAGGGGAATCTGAAATCACCTGTCCTCTGCCTTTTGCTGCCACACCCTGCCTTTTTAGGGCAGTGGCTATAATCCCTTGCACTATGCCATGAAGGGGCCAAGCTTGCACCCCAGGGACTGTCCCGCTAAGTCACCTGCATCACTCCCTTGTGAGGATCAGGAGGCAAGTTATCTATCCTCTGGGTAGCTTCCCCCACACTGGGGAGGGAGTGGTCCCTCTGTGGAATGTTGGGAGAGGGCTGTGAATGGAAAAGGGAAAGGTGGAGGAAGGAGGACTCATTATTAATAGGCAGCATCCCTGTGTAATCCCTGACTAGCTTCGCAGGCTCGCCCTGGTGACCCTGGGCTCCTTGCAGAGCCGGATACAGAGATGATCCCTCTCTCCTGTGATGGAGATCAAAGGTCAGGGTAAAATTACCCTGATCTGCTCCTTGCTTTTTGAGGGTTCCTTCTCTATCCAGAAAAGCAGCCAGCTGCGAAGAGGTGTGCTCGGGGCAGAGTGGGAGTGCGGGACAGTGTACAGGTATTGAGTGCTAGGTCCCTCAGCAGAGGTGTTACCCTCCCGCTCCAGTCTGAAAACTGGTGAGATTTACCTGCCAAAGGGAGAACAAGCAACCCCGTCCCTGTGCAAAGTCCCTTGCCACTGTAAAGGCATCTCAGCGCTAACACCAAGTCCTTCCCCTCCATGATCTCAACTTCCCGCATCCTCTGATGGTATCAGCCCTTGTACAAAGACTCCTCACAGAATCACACCAAGACACTCAGGTTCCCAAATGCCCGATTCCCCAAGGTGACCTCAGGCACCACAACAGGGCAGGGTACTTACCGGGATCTGTAGAGTGAGCTGGGTTGCAGTCCCTTCTGGATGGCACCCTCACAGCTGCCTCCCTTGTCAGAACAGCTCCTTGCTGACCAGAAGCCCCTTGTCCCTTTGCCTTCTCCAGTCAGTCCTGTTTGCCCACCCAGAGAGTCCTTTGCTCCCTCTCTGCTCCTCAGCCTCTCCCAGGACTGATCTCCCCATGGGGAGCTGGAAGGCTGTGGACGGGAGGGGTTGGGGGAGGGCTGATTCCAGGAGCAGCGTCAGGCAAATTAAATCAGACACCAGAGACTTGGGGAAATCGGATTGGGACGTAATGCAAAGCAGGTGGATGGGGAGGGGTGAAAAGAGAGAGTAGCACACTGCTCCTGAAGGGAAAGAAACCATCACAGGCGGATTTGACTCCGTTTATATCAGCAACAAACTAATAAAGTGAAGATTAGCCAGAACAGGCTAGGATTATCAGCCACTGGGGCAGGGCTTGCTGTACCTCAGAGTCCACAGGGACTCCCATTTTTCTGGGGACAGCCTGCTACGTACGTCCTGGGCAGGGCAGAAAGAGGGATGATGCCACCCACAGAGGCCCCGATAAGGGAAAACCAATGGCAGGGCTGTCACACCCTCTCAGGGCAGCAAATGGGGCTCTGGATGGGGAAACCAGAACTGGGCACAGGGGCCCAGGGTGGCAAAAGATTTGGTGGCATGCCTTTTGGCAGCCACTTTAGTGGGATGCTGCAAGGGGATTATCTTGGCCTCAATCTCTTTTAATCTCTCCTGCGGCTTTGGCCCAAGCCCGAGATAAATACCTTTTAACGGATCTCATCTGACGTCAGGAGGCCATCAGTCTAATCACCCAAGCCACCTTTGGGCAAAGCAAGCCAGAGATGTGGACACTGGCCCCTCACTCCCCAACATGGCCTCGCCAGGAAGGAACCACCCAGCACCCTCACATAAATCATCAGGACGGACATGTGCATGCTAGGATGTGACGGACCCCTTGCCAGGGAGAGGGAATTTGAAATGCACACATCAAACTGTCTTTTTTTTTCCTGTGACCCTGGGGAGGACGGGAAGCAAAAAGGGTTGCCAGTGCAGGTTTCCCAAGCTTGAATGTCCCCATCCACCTGAATGTTAAGGAAGTGTCAGGATTCAGACTGAGGAAAGACTTCCCTTTCCACAGAGCACGGGCCCTGTGGCAATGGTGATGAGGGGATCACTCATCCACCTCTTACACCACTGACCTGGCCCTACAGATTTCTTCCACTTGCACTGTAGTTGGGGTCTCCATGCACAACTCATCAAGGCCTGAGTATGTCATGACCACAGATTGATCTCTGGCTCTAATGCTTCCCAGGAAAAGGGTCACTGCTCTTTTTGATACTCCATATCCACCCCATTCAATTCCTATTTGGCTACAAAATAATCCCATCTCGGGACACTAATCCCCCAGGCAGTGACAGCAGATTGTCTTTCTATCAGGGTGGAAAATGATAAACAAAATCTCTCTTCTGCTTTCAGGGACAATTTAGTACATGGAGAGGGAAAACACAAACAAACAAAAACAAAGAGAGGCTTTGCTGCAGGGAAACGTGAGCGTCTAGTGCTTTTCCTTAAAGGCACTCCTCACACTTTTCATGCTAGTCATGGCAGAACTGACTTTCTCTCATCTAGGCAAACACTGATTTCTTTCACCGAGCGCTCAACTCCCTTCTATTATTTGCTATTTAAATTTCCATCAGCAACAAGTGTGCATGTCTCCCTTGTGGTGTACAGACTCAAGCTCCCACCAATATCTGTGGCCAGCATTTCGCTTTTATTCCATATATTCACAGTCCATCACCTTCCCTGTCTCAGATCAGTGGTGAGGGTCTGGAGTCTGCAGGTGCCTAGGAAAGTCAAAGGCTTCAGTTCTGAATTCCTGAATGTGGCACAACCCTCCCTGAAAGACTCTAGGCTCCTCCTCCCCCTTTCAGATTTAGCCCTGGATGACCAAAAAGTTGGCACTGAGAGAAGTGGAGTGAGAAGACCTTATCTTCTTACTTCTGAGTGACACAAACTGCTGAGGCAGTGAAAAAAGTTCCAGGTGTCACTGACTTCCACACTCTGCCCTTCTCCCATTTTTCAGCTGCTGGGACGCCACAGAGAAGAAAGCTGAATCCCTCCCCATCACTACAGCTCTAGCATGCTACTACACTGCTCCAGGCCTCGATGGTCCCGGTCCTACCATGACCTGCCAGGCCATGGTGTGCACCAGTCCTGCCCCCAGGGCTCCGTGTACTCAGAACTCATCTCTGGCCCGCAGCACCCTGGGTTGCTGCTTGCTGTCTGAGCCAGGCTTCTGTCTCCGATTCACAGGCTTGGTTCCACTGTTGGAAACAGGAGGCTCTGAGGAGGATCTGCTGCTGTGATCAGTCCCCTGATGTTTTTCTCCACCAAGCTGGTCCTGCTCCACAGCCCTCTGCTCCATCAGCTCCTCCGCTTTCACCCGTTCCTGCAGCCATGGACACAAAGATGTGAACCCCTCCCTGCTGGGGTCTCGGCCCTGCTCGCAGAGGCTCACAAGGCACAGCTTGTCTTTGCCACATCCATCAAACCACCCCAGAGCCCCATCTCTCCAGCAGGACCCATCACAGGTTGGCCCCTCCACCACACAGCTTGTCACACCTTGGGCAGCCAACCCCCAGCTGCTGCACTAGGCCCTGCCCCAAGGGAAAGCCCAAAAGCTGTTCCTCAGGAGGATTTGATCTCACTTGGAGGTACTTGTATTTGTTTCTTCAGCACAGTCCTTCACCTGCTCCGCGTGCTCCCGGGAGTGTGTGTACCAGAGAGCAACGGCACAGCGCCTTCCGCGGCTCACTGCCCACACGCCGTGGGGGTTCTCCTTGCCAGAGCTGAAGGCTACCAGCCTCCCACACTTAGGATGCACCTCGGCCTGCCAAGAGAGAGAAAAGACCATGAAGCCAGCAGTCCCCTGCTCGGAAGCACAGAGTCTTTCTGTCACAGAGGTGACACTGCCTCTGGGAACATGGAAGAGCAGAGAGCTGCTAAGCGTCCACGGCCAGTCTGTGAGCAAAGTAGACCTTGGAGAGGGGCAGAGAGAATCAAAGGGACAACAAATGTCACAGACACTCACAGACTGGAAGAGCCTAAAAAATCTCAGCTAGGAAAGAGTTAACCTCTCCTCTGTCTGAGATTTGCCTCAATTTGCCTTTAGCTGCCCCTATTTGAATCTGCCACAGCATCAGCACTGGACTGTTTTTGGAATGGTGGGATCCAATAACCAAATAGTTTCCTCCCACCCAGACTGAGTCTCACAGTCCTCTCTCCTTCTTTTGGCCAGTCCCAGACTTACTGTGACAGTCACAGTATCCACTTCAGTGAAGAAAAGGCCCCCACCTTGGAAGTCATCATTGAGGTAGAGAATGCCACTGTGGACAAAAATAAAGAGTATATATGGGCTGAGAAGCTTATTCCTCCCAGGTGCTTCCCCATGGTCCTTGTTACAGGAAGCTGTGGATATCACACATTCAAAAAGTGAATAGACCAGTTACCAGGAGAATCCGTCTGAGGGTGTTAAATACAGCAGTGCCTAGCTCGGGGGAGTCCCTGAGCTGCAAGCCACAGGAGGCTGGGAGAGTGCGCCAGGGAATCAGCTCTACGTGCTTGTCCCGTTTTGTTTTGGTTTTTTCTTAATCCTCTGCAGTGTGCAGAGGCATCTGTGGCCTGCTGTGACAATGCTCAGGGCTTGACAGACCCTGGTTCTGACATGGCATGGCGTTATTTATGTTTTAGGGCTGGGAATAATCCAGTGCCTGGATGAAGAGACTGATCAGCAAAGAAAGCCATGTCTTAACAGCCAAGAAATCTCAAGGTAACACAAGAATGATCAAAAAGAGGCTTGGTGCATAGAGAAAAGAAAATTAAAACAAATTTCTTTTCTAAAGTTATATAAAAAGAGAAGTAGTGAGGTCACTGTGCAGCACAGGTGAGATCACAGTCAAAGGTGAAAGAATGGACCATGAACTACGTGAGTTCCTCTTGGCATTCAATTAAGCTGATAGAAAACTTCAGAGGAACAACAGAGGCTCTTAATTAATGGGACTGGGGTAAAGAAATAGAAATCAACACTGTGGCTGCTGAAGCAATGTTAAGGATATAAGGGCAGTGAGAGGATTACCAACCCTGAAACCCAGGAAGTTACAGCTCTTCTGCCATAGAGTTTCAATAAGGCTGTGAAGCCAGGGGGAAACATGAGAGGAAAAAAGCAAGGAGAGCTCTTATATGTACAAAAGGACAGGAAGGTAGGGATAATGGCTGAAGCCTAAACAGGTCTGTTATCCTGACCTCAATAGTCTGCAGGGCTTTAGACTCCACTTCTGAGGAGAAGGGTAACTGGAGGACAAGAGGTAAATGGAAAGTGGTCTTAAAATGTAACACAGGGGCACTAAAAACAGTTTGGGCTACCCAGGCAGTGTTTGACAAAACAGTTGATTTTACAGTGAAAGGCTACATGCTCAATTTCAGCAGTCTGGACTCTGGTAAAAGCACTCAGAACGCTGCCACTGGAGAAATTGCTAATGAACACAGAGAAGGTGAAGACGAGCACGTGAACAGCACACAATGGCCAGTGCACTGCTGGCACCAAAAGGAGCACTGCTGACCCGGAGGAGCATCGCTAGGACGCTTGGGCCCTGGGTCCAATCCTGTTCAACGGTACCATTAATGACTATAGCACAAATACACAGAAGAGGTCCAGGAAGTTTGGAACACAGGGACTTCATTCAAAAAGATACCGTAAGAGCTCAGCCCTTGTGAGCTCACAAGCCCTTGCTTAGTCACAACTCAAACTGCAAGAGGACAGGGATACTCCTGAAAATAGCTCAGTGGCATAGATTCCAGGAAAGTATTTTACCATACATTCAAGTGGAAGTCAGAGAACTCAGGGAGGAATGAAGTGACAGGGTGGCTTTCTCCCAGGAAGGACAGAGACCTAACCAGTCACACGACAAAGCCCGGTAACTTTACAATCTGATTATACCAAGTCAACACCTTATCAGAAGGGAAACAACTGAACGATACTGGAATTCCCTCCAAGTCCCACATCCTCACCATAGGCTGCTTAGAAATTTCTGCTCTGGATACAGCTACCACTCAAAGACAAGACAAGTAAGATTTATGGAT